ATCAGAGGTAAAAAACAATATAAATACTGTTCAGTTTCTTGCACAGAGCGATCTTTTCGTGTCTTTACACATCAATGTATCGTCACGAGCCGCAGGGTTTAATTTGGTTTTGTTTGTGTATGTTTTTTTGACTCTCAAAGCCGTGACTCCCATTCACTTCCATTATATGACTGACAAACTGCGACGGTTTGAGTTAAAAATCTTCGTTTGTGTTCTACTGAAGAAACAAAGTCACCTACATCTTGGATGCCCTGGGGCTAAGCAGATAAACATCAAATTTTAATTTTTGGGTGAACTATCCCTTTAAGTAACCAAGGAACAGAGATTAAGTCTTTGTCCTTCGTCTGTCCTCTCAAAATTTGAAAATGTGTGGTTCAAAATACACTTTCCAGAGGAAATAAGGATCAAAAGGCATAAAATGTAGAATTGCTCTGCTGGTCACACTCAATCACATTTAGCTGCAGTGTTTCTGCAGGTGATCACCTTTATTATTTTTTCTGTCCTCTTCCTACATTATTGTTCAATAAAAATGGCTAAAAATAAGGGGGGAAAACACAAGGATTGGAATAGGTCATTTTTTTTCACCAATGATGATGATTTTATTTGAACAAAACACAAATAAAAACACACATTTTGAAATATTATTACTTTTTATATTAACTTTTTTCTATTTTTTAAATGTAATTTATTGAACAAAGCTACATTGTCAGCAATGCTGCTTAATATTTTTGTGGAAACCATTATGCTTTTTTTTTTTTTCAAGATTCTCTGATGAATATTTATTACTAGCATTTCTTTTTTATTACTTTTTTTTTTGAGGCTGTCTAGGCAGTCTACCTGTTAACTGTATTAGTATTAAGGTAATTGAGAATCTTTCATCTGTTGGTGTTGCAGGTGGAGTAAAGAGGAGATGGAGCTGATTAACAGGTGGGCGTTCATGGGTGAGAAGATCATCCACGGTAACCCTTCAGTGGTGGACAATGCTGTGGGCACATGGGGTAAAAGTCAATCTTATACATTCATGATTCTGCTTCATTTTATTTATTTATTATTACATTTATGCTTCATCACTTTATGCTTTTTATAAAAGGTGGCTTTTTAAGATACCATGCTGGGAATATAACTCCACTAAGCTGGTAAAACTATACTCTGCAAAAAATATTTTCACAATATATTTAGTCATTATTATAAAGTTACTGTTCCTGTTAATCAGAAAATTATATAAAAAGTTATTTCAGTGAAATGACAGAACCAACAGAATTTTCTAAGTGTGTTATTGAGTTCATTTCCTCCCTAGGGTCCCCATTCTGAGAATCCTTCTCACTAACACCAAAGTACCACGTAGCACCAAAGTGCTTGTTTCTGGAGTGAAGGACAAAATTAACAAGGTAGTAAATGGCTCCCCTCACCCCCCCCTTCCATGTTTTTATTCCTGTGCCCTTCAATTAGCATAATGGCCGGTGTGTGTGAGGGAGGAACACTCCAGGGGCCCGATGCCGAGTGCCTTTTATAAGAGCTCCAAATGAAACACTGTGCCAACGCTCCTGTGCTCCGTTACCTTGACAACGGCAGCAGGTAGCCTCACTGCTGGCACATCCTGATTGGTGAAGTGGAATTCCGGAATTATCGGGACGGAAAACAGCAAAAAGTCAGGGCAGACTTTAAAAGGGTCATATTCTACACTTTTGTGGCATTATTAGTCAAAGCAGTAAGTCGTAAACAATTGAGATTTAGTTTTACTGTTTCCACCCTCTTTTAGGCTGATTATACACGGGGCAACTTTTTTTGAGCAATGTTGCTTGGGCACTTTCCCATTGAGAATGGGTAACAAATTTCTATCTGGATACTTTAGATCGGTCGTTGGCCCTGTGTCTCACCTGGTTGCCCATTGATGGCAACATTGCCCAAAGTTGCCCGGCAACATTGCTCAAATAGTTGCCCTGTGTATCATCAGCCTTAGAATTTGCTTTAAAGGAATGTTTAAAAAATCATTACTCCCACATCACTTTCCTCCTTCCGTGGAACACAAAAGGAGATGATTTAAAGAATATCCAGTTGATGAATTCAGTATGATGGCAGTACATCTTGCTTTAACCTAACACTTAGTACAGCACCCAAGAGTGTCAGCAAAAAATGGTAATTTTAACATTTTTACAAAATCATGGCGGATACAGGCCTCATTGATTCAGTTCAGAGTTGAGAAATATCAATATCATGGATGGATGAATGCAAACAAAAATTCGATAGTACATTGGAGTCTTGCTATTATTATCAAATAGCAAGAATTTGAGTAGCAGATGTACAGTGATATCTTGCTTTTCTAAGGCTGACAATTATAAATATCTTTTGATGTGACAAGCTTAAGCGGATAATTTTTGTTGTTTGTACAGTATCTGTATTCTGTCCTCATAGTCCTTTGTGCTGTGTTACTTTGCAGTTTCCCTCCGTAATGAAGCCAGTTCTGGAGTCCGTCAGCGCTGTGTCCTGCGCCTGTGAACAGACTCTCACAGAGATGGCCGCGCATGGACCTTCAGCTGAGCTCTACAACATACTGGAGGTACAATCACACGGCGTTTCCTTCATAGAGAAAGTGATACCTTTAGCAATGTGCAGTAGGTGTATATTATTTATCATTTGTGTCAGACATTTGTTTTCCATTTTTGGCACAATTTTTTGTCTAAGACACATTTTCAGGATCGTAATGATTTCTGTCATGATAGGGAAAAATTAGCAGTTGCTTTTGCGATTTAGTACTGTTAAAAAGTTTGGGGTTGATATGGGTTTTTTTTTTTTTTTTAACATGTATCCTTATGACTGGTTTTGTGGTCCACGGTCACATATTTATTTGATTAAATATTTAATAATATTGTGAAATAGTTTTGCAATTCAAAATAACTGTTTTGCTTATTTTAAAATGTAATTTTATTCCTGTCATGGCAAAACTACATTTTCAGCAGCCATTACCCCAGTCTTCAGTCATTCTATTATGCTGATTTGGTCTTCGAGAAACATTTCTTCTTATTATTATTAATGTTGAAAACAGTTGTGCTGGTTAATATTTTTGAGGAAACGCATTAGTTTTACAGGATTATTTGATGAATACAACATTCAAAAGAACAGCATTTTTTTTTTTAAATATATATTTATAAGTCCGTACTGTCACCTTTGATCAATTTAATGCATCCCTTCTAAATAAAAGTACTAATATATTAATAAGTTTGACTCCAAACTTTTGAACAGTTATGCATTATTATATATATTTTTTAAATTCATACTTAGTTTTTTGCCTTCATTTTATTTTTGTATATCTTTAAGTATTATTTTCCAGGCGAAATGTAACTAACACTACTGCAAAAGCTTGCTTGTGTCATCATTTAATTTTTGCATGTAAATGAGGGTGTCAGAATAGACATGGGCTGGTGACTTAAAATGCCCAGTCAGCATTATCAATTCTGACCAAATCTTAGCTATGACATTTGTCATACAGTCAGACATAAATGGGTCACTTGCAACTGTGTTATTTAATGAGATAACATGAACTAAGAGTTGTATTTTTTAACAAAGATTAATAACTTCTGTAGCAAATGTAGCTATTGCTCATTGTGAATGTTAATGCATTAACTAAGGTTAACTAATGAGATCTTATTGTAAAGTGATACCTATTGGTCTTTATAATTCTTTTGCACTTTAATCTGTGTAAAATTTTTTACTTTATACATTTTTCTTGTATTGCTTTATTGTATTTAAATGTTATTTTTTTTGTAAGAAAAAAGTTATACTGTATTATGACAACAAATTTTTGCAACTAAATTTCAATATCGTGATAACGTATACCGTGATAAAAGCATTAGCAATTAATTGCAACATGAAAATTTGATACCTAGTCATACCGTACAATCTGACTCATATCTATCATGTTTGGGACAAACAGAAAAGGTTGTGTAGTGAACACCTTGTATCAAAACTTGTTATATTAAACAAGAGTAAAGCTGCTATTCTGGTGTGGGACACATGGCCTAGTAGTTTGCACATTTACTCGTTGATTTGTGGCGTGCATAAGGGAGATGCAAGGTTGAATCTGCATCTGTCTCTGCCCGTAATTTTCTGTCCTCCCTTGACTTTTATTTAAATAAAAAGTGTCAAAAGAGCAAAGAAATGATCAATATTTTTATTCGGAGAAAGCCCTGATGGATGGATTATATTGATCTTTTCAAGACCTGACTCTGTGTGTCATTTGTCTTCAGGAGCTGATTGATATAAACCAGCACCATCTGAACGTGATGGGTGTGGGTCACTCGTCTCTGGACACACTGTGTAGGGTCACTCTGGCCAGAGGCCTGCATAGCAAACTGACTGGGGCAGGAGGAGGAGGCTGTGGAATCACTCTCATATGACCAGGTACCAATGCACACATCAGAGTAAACAAATGATTTTTTTTTTACAATATATTTATCTCAAAGATATGACTGGTGCTTGACCTCTCAAACATCACTGGCTTGATGCTAGAGTGTTGTGGGTGGTTGCTAGAGCATTGTAATGCATTCATGTGGACAAATGGTTAACCTTCTGTCAATTCTGACTCCTGGTTTATTAAAATTGTACCAATCGTTGTTGTTTTTGTATGAAATGTCTTCCTGGAACCCTACAGTGTATATTTTGGATATGCTACCTGTGGTTAATCAGTCTGATTGCTGTGAATTGTTTGAAAAGTCTCCATGAGGGTGGCACCCTGCAGACTGCGTGACTGTTTAGCGGGATTCGTGAGGTGAATCTCGCTTGTCACTTTTGTCTGACAAAGCTAACAACTTGACACAGCAGCTGTCAGACTGGGCCACACTCTTTGTTTATGCCTGAAGCATTGAATTTTAATCAGGATCTTAGAACCCTCAAAAACAGCCTCCATTAAAGCAGACACAACGCTGGAAGAAGCCGGACAACGTTTATGATGCCTAACAACTTGAGTATGTGTCATTGTCATTTCTAGGCACACCTTGTTAAGGCTGAATTAAGATTTTTGAGGTAAAGTCCTCTTGCTCGTTTAATTTGCAAACAGAATTGGTCTTACTCCAAGTGTGTCCTGACGTTCTTGTACCTCAGCATTATTTAAAATGAAAATTGGATTCCTGCCTGTCAAAAAAGACATTGAATTCTTACTTCACTTGACACGGCAAGTGGTCTGTTTTTATATTTTGCATGTAAAATTGCACCTAGTTTCATCTTCTAAAACTCCAGAGGAACAGTATCAGCCACCTGGTGATACACACACACACACACACACACACACACACACACACTCACTGATTCTTGGGTTTCATGTTTGAGGGTTTGGCAGATTGTCAGACCTGCATATGGTCAGTGCTCCTGACACAAACAAACGTGTTTCAGCTGGAACAATGTTGCGAATAAAGTATGTTAAGATGTGACGTACAAATAAGATTTTCATCTGAACCAAGTTTGTTTCCTGGACAATTTTTCACATGCTCCTGCCGGTGAGTTGTGCTGTTTATGCGAGTGACACAAATGCAAATCCAATCCTATCCAATATAATATATTATAAATACCTTTTAGAAGTTTGGGGTTGATAATGTTTTTAAAAGAAGTCTCTTATACTCACCAAGGTTGCATTTATTTGATCAAAAATACAGTAAAAACAGTGATATTGTGAAATAATAAAATTTTACAAAACTGATTTCTATTTTAATACAGTATATATTCAAATGTAATTCAGGCTGAATTTTTAGCAACCAGTCACATGATCCTTCAGAAACATTCCAATATCCTGATTTGATGCTTAAGAAACAGTTCTTACTATCAGTGTTAACAGTTGTGCAGCTTAATATTTTCGTAGAAACCGTGATACACATATAAATGCTTTTACGGTCTCCTTGGGTCAATTTAATATGTCCTTGCTGAATAAAAGTATTAATTTCTTAAACAATTTACCAGCCCTTTTTGATTATATTATATTATGTTTTGTAGATGCAGAAATGACACATTTACACAATTTAGCTTTAACTCCATGGAGCACCTGTTTAACTGAGTGTAATTTTTCTAGGCCTTGGTGTTGATGGGGACGTTTTTGTCCTTTCTGTTTACAGAAACCGATACTTCAGTGATTCAGAGCACCGTTGAGGAGCTGAAGGCCTGTGGCTTTGACTGCTGGGAGACCAGCATCGGAGCTCCTGGAGTCCAGCAGCACTCTTCAGCTGCACTCAGTCAGGACATACCGAAGATCCTCCACAGCTACTGAAACAGAAAGCAAGCACACTGTACTGTATGCATCATTGCTGCTGTTACTCTGGATCCTGGTTTGATAAACGTAATTCATATTCACATTGCAATTTTTTTATAGAATTGGAAAATGCTATAAAACATAACCTTATCATCTGCTGAATTAAGATTTTTTAAAAATATGTTTGTATTATTTCTTTCAGAGTGCATGCATTATAAAGTTTTGTATGCCAGTAGATGGCAGCAAAGTGTAAAACAAATTTAATACTGTCAATTTTTGACAGTATGTATGGAATGCAAATAATAGATAATTTAATTAAATATAGATACTAACTAAATTAATTTAAAAAATAGCTTTTAATAAATTTCAGCCTTTTCATGAAAAGCTGTCATGCACAACATTATTATTTTCTGACCTGTCTATGTATTCCCAGCAAATGCAGTATGATCATCTCATTTGTCAAAAATGTTTCTCAACACGGATCACATTTCCGACCAGAACTAGCACAGCTTGGAGCATTTTGGACTGAGTACAGCCGTTGTATTATTGTCACTAAACCCAAAGTAATTACTTTTCAGTTCTTTGCACTTTGTCAGAATATTTTGCACCGGAACAGTTTTGAAGCCAAGGAGGGGATGCTGGGACGCATTTGGCTGTCGACCAGACGCGGTCCAAGTTGATCTGTGAAGCGCGGTGATGAAATAAACGCTCTGCACTTAGAGCGGAGCACATTTCCCCACAGTCCCAGGAGAGGGGTGTAATTTTAGTGGTGTTTTGTGAGGAACAGATAAAGAGGGCTATCTTCAGCACACAAGACCTGGAGCTAGAGAATAGGAAATGGATTTGCACTGAGATGAATATGTTCCTGTAAACCAAAGGCCGGCAGAAGTACAGAGCCCCTTATGCTTGAACAAGTCAACTTTGAGAAGACCTAGGGAGGCCAGAGACACATTTAAAAGAGAGTGTTGTTGGTTTTGTAAATGTGAAGCTCTCGGTGTACTTAATTAAGGTGCATAACCATCATTTCGGAATTAAAGGGAACATAATGTGCAGACCAGATTTCCTGGCCAGTCTTTATTTTCCTATTTTTCTTGTTAAGCGCTTTTAGGTTATGTTTTGTGCAGAAAAAAGTGCTGTTTTTGTCCACGCAGTGCAAGTCAGTGAAGTTCAGAACCTGACTTTCATTGCACATTTTTGGTTTAACATTCACTTCGAGAGCTTAAACATGGCTTTTAACGATGATGTTGTTGAACATGTTTACCTGTTGTGTGCAGGATGCATCTCAGTTTGATTATTTTGCTTCGTCATTTGTGACCCTGGACCACAAAACCAGTCTTAAGTGTCAATTTTTCGAAATTGAGATTTATTCATCATCTGAAAGCTGAATAAATAAGATTTCCATTGATGTATGGTTTGTTAGGATAGGACAATATTTGGCCGAGATACAACTATTTGAAAATCTGGAATCTGAGGGTGCAAAAAAATCAAAATATTGAGAAAATCGCCTTTAAAATTGTCCAAATGAAGTTCTTAGCAATGCATATTACTAATCAAAAATGAATTTTTACATTTTAATCTGGACTACAACGTGCCCTAGATATTGTTTGAAAGTGTTTTGATTTTTTATTGTTCGGTCACACTTTACATTAGGGCTTCATTAGTTAACATTAGTTAATTCATTAGTTAAACTGCCAATGAAAAATTCTTCTGAACATTTATTACTCTTAGGTATTCCAATATTTAATAACAGAATGTTAAAATGCAGCTGTGTTATTTAATGAGATAACATGAACTAAGAGTTGTATTTTTTAACAAAGATTAATAACTTCTGTAGCAAATGTAGCTATTGCTCATTGTGAATGTTAATGCATTAACTAAGGTTAACTAATGAGATCTTATTGTAAAGTGATACCTATTGGTCTTTATAATTCTTTTGCACTTTAATCTGTGTAAAATTTTTTACTTTATACATTTTTCTTGTATTGCTTTATTGTATTTAAATGTTATTTTTTTTGTAAGAAAAAAGTTATACTGTATTATGACAACAAATTTTTGCAACTAAATTTCAATATCGTGATAACGTATACCGTGATAAAAGCATTAGCAATTAATTGCAACATGAAAATTTGATACCTAGTCATACCGTACAATCTGACTCATATCTATCATGTTTGGGACAAACAGAAAAGGTTGTGTAGTGAACACCTTGTATCAAGATCAGTTAATTTATTACAGTTCACTGTATTGCTGCAAATCTTGTTACATTACACAAGAGCAAAGATACTCTTCTGTTGTCGGACACATGGCAGTTTGCGCATTTACTCGTTGATTTGTGGTGGGCACAAGGGTGAGGCAAGTTTGAATTGTCCTGTTCTTCATCCGTCTCTGCCCGTAATTTTCTGTCCTCCCTTGACTTTTATTTAAATAAAAAGTGTCAAAAGAGCAAAGAAATGATCAATATTTTTATTCGGAGAAAGCCCTGATGGATGGATTATATTGATCTTTTCAAGACCTGACTCTGTGTGTCATTTGTCTTCAGGAGCTGATTGATATAAACCAGCACCATCTGAACGTGATGGGTGTGGGTCACTCGTCTCTGGACACACTGTGTAGGGTCACTCTGGCCAGAGGCCTGCATAGCAAACTGACTGGGGCAGGAGGAGGAGGCTGTGGAATCACTCTCATATGACCAGGTACCAATGCACACATCAGAGTAAACAAATGATTTTTTTTTTACAATATATTTATCTCAAAGATATGACTGGTGCTTGACCTCTCAAACATCACTGGCTTGATGCTAGAGTGTTGTGGGTGGTTGCTAGAGCATTGTAATGCATTCATGTGGACAAATGGTTAACCTTCTGTCAATTCTGACTCCTGGTTTATTAAAATTGTACCAATCGTTGTTGTTTTTGTATGAAATGTCTTCCTGGAACCCTACAGTGTATATTTTGGATATGCTACCTGTGGTTAATCAGTCTGATTGCTGTGAATTGTTTGAAAAGTCTCCATGAGGGTGGCACCCTGCAGACTGCGTGACTGTTTAGCGGGATTCGTGAGGTGAATCTCGCTTGTCACTTTTGTCTGACAAAGCTAACAACTTGACACAGCAGCTGTCAGACTGGGCCACACTCTTTGTTTATGCCTGAAGCATTGAATTTTAATCAGGATCTTAGAACCCTCAAAAACAGCCTCCATTAAAGCAGACACAACGCTGGAAGAAGCCGGACAACGTTTATGATGCCTAACAACTTGAGTATGTGTCATTGTCATTTCTAGGCACACCTTGTTAAGGCTGAATTAAGATTTTTGAGGTAAAGTCCTCTTGCTCGTTTAATTTGCAAACAGAATTGGTCTTACTCCAAGTGTGTCCTGACGTTCTTGTACCTCAGCATTATTTAAAATGAAAATTGGATTCCTGCCTGTCAAAAAAGACATTGAATTCTTACTTCACTTGACACGGCAAGTGGTCTGTTTTTATATTTTGCATGTAAAATTGCACCTAGTTTCATCTTCTAAAACTCCAGAGGAACAGTATCAGCCACCTGGTGATACACACACACACACACACACACACACACACACACACTCACTGATTCTTGGGTTTCATGTTTGAGGGTTTGGCAGATTGTCAGACCTGCATATGGTCAGTGCTCCTGACACAAACAAATGTGTTTCAGCTGGAACAATGTTGCGAATAAAGTATGTTAAGATGTGACGTACAAATAAGATTTTCATCTGAACCAAGTTTGTTTCCTGGACAATTTTTCACATGCTCCTGCCGGTGAGTTGTGCTGTTTATGCGAGTGACACAAATGCAAATCCAATCCTATCCAATATAATATATTATAAATACCTTTTAGAAGTTTGGGGTTGATAATGTTTTTAAAAGAAGTCTCTTATACTCACCAAGGTTGCATTTATTTGATCAAAAATACAGTAAAAACAGTGATATTGTGAAATAATAAAATTTTACAAAACTGATTTCTATTTTAATACAGTATATATTCAAATGTAATTCAGGCTGAATTTTTAGCAACCAGTCACATGATCCTTCAGAAACATTCCAATATCCTGATTTGATGCTTAAGAAACAGTTCTTACTATCAGTGTTAACAGTTGTGCAGCTTAATATTTTCGTAGAAACCGTGATACACATATAAATGCTTTTACGGTCTCCTTGGGTCAATTTAATATGTCCTTGCTGAATAAAAGTATTAATTTCTTAAACAATTTACCAGCCCTTTTTGATTATATTATATTATGTTTTGTAGATGCAGAAATGACACATTTACACAATTTAGCTTTAACTCCATGGAGCACCTGTTTAACTGAGTGTAATTTTTCTAGGCCTTGGTGTTGATGGGGACGTTTTTGTCCTTTCTGTTTACAGAAACCGATACTTCAGTGATTCAGAGCACCGTTGAGGAGCTGAAGGCCTGTGGCTTTGACTGCTGGGAGACCAGCATCGGAGCTCCTGGAGTCCAGCAGCACTCTTCAGCTGCACTCAGTCAGGACATACCGAAGATCCTCCACAGCTACTGAAACAGAAAGCAAGCACACTGTACTGTATGCATCATTGCTGCTGTTACTCTGGATCCTGGTTTGATAAACGTAATTCATATTCACATTGCAATTTTTTTATAGAATTGGAAAATGCTATAAAACATAACCTTATCATCTGCTGAATTAAGATTTTTTAAAAATATGTTTGTATTATTTCTTTCAGAGTGCATGCATTATAAAGTTTTGTATGCCAGTAGATGGCAGCAAAGTGTAAAACAAATTTAATACTGTCAATTTTTGACAGTATGTATGGAATGCAAATAATAGATAATTTAATTAAATATAGATACTAACTAAATTAATTTAAAAAATAGCTTTTAATAAATTTCAGCCTTTTCATGAAAAGCTGTCATGCACAACATTATTATTTTCTGACCTGTCTATGTATTCCCAGCAAATGCAGTATGATCATCTCATTTGTCAAAAATGTTTCTCAACACGGATCACATTTCCGACCAGAACTAGCACAGCTTGGAGCATTTTGGACTGAGTACAGCCGTTGTATTATTGTCACTAAACCCAAAGTAATTACTTTTCAGTTCTTTGCACTTTGTCAGAATATTTTGCACCGGAACAGTTTTGAAGCCAAGGAGGGGATGCTGGGACGCATTTGGCTGTCGACCAGACGCGGTCCAAGTTGATCTGTGAAGCGCGGTGATGAAATAAATGCTCTGCACTTAGAGCGGAGCACATTTCCCCACAGTCCCAGGAGAGGGGTGTAATTTTAGTGGTGTTTTGTGAGGAACAGATAAAGAGGGCTATCTTCAGCACACAAGACCTGGAGCTAGAGAATAGGAAATGGATTTGCACTGAGATGAATATGTTCCTGTAAACCAAAGGCCGGCAGAAGTACAGAGCCCCTTATGCTTGAACAAGTCAACTTTGAGAAGACCTAGGGAGGCCAGAGACACATTTAAAAGAGAGTGTTGTTGGTTTTGTAAATGTGAAGCTCTCGGTGTACTTAATTAAGGTGCATAACCATCATTTCGGAATTAAAGGGAACATAATGTGCAGACCAGATTTCCTGGCCAGTCTTTATTTTCCTATTTTTCTTGTTTAGCGCTTTTAGGTTATGTTTTGTGCAGAAAAAAGTGCTGTTTTTGTCCACGCAGTGCAAGTCAGTGAAGTTCAGAACCTGACTTTCATTGCACATTTTTGGTTTAACATTCACTTCGAGAGCTTAAACATGGCTTTTAACGATGATGTTGTTGAACATGTTTACCTGTTGTGTGCAGGATGCATCTCAGTTTGATTATTTTGCTTCGTCATTTGTGACCCTGGACCACAAAACCAGTCTTAAGTGTCAATTTTTCGAAATTGAGATTTATTCATCATCTGAAAGCTGAATAAATAAGATTTCCATTGATGTATGGTTTGTTAGGATAGGACAATATTTGGCCGAGATACAACTATTTGAAAATCTGGAATCTGAGGGTGCAAAAAAATCAAAATATTGAGAAAATCGCCTTTAAAGTTGTCCAAATGAAGTTCTTAGCAATGCAT